GTATTGAACAGACTGTCTTTTCTCCATTGTAAATCCTTGCCTCCTTTGTCATAGATAAATTGACCATAGGTGCATGGGTTTAACTCTGGGCTTTCTATCTTGTACCAGTGATCTATGTTTCTGTTTTTGTGTCAGTACCATATTGTCTTCATTACTGTAGCTTTGCAGTATAGTCTGAAGTAAGGGAGTCTGATTCCTCCAGCTCCACTGTTTGCCCTCAAGACTGCTTTGGCTATTCGGGGTCTTTTGTGTCTCCGTACAAATTTTAAGATTTTTTGTTCTAGTTCCGTAAAAAATGACATTGGTAATTTGATACGGATTGCATTGAATCTGTAGATTGCTTTGGGTAGTATAGTCATTTTCACAATATTGATTCTTCCAATCCAAGAACATGGTATATCTCTCCATCTGTTCGTATCAGCTTTAATTTCCTTCGTCAGTGTCTTATAGTTTTCTGCATACAGGTTTTTGTCTCCCTAGGTAGGTTTATTCCTAGGTATTTTATTCTTTTTGTTGCAATGGTAAATGGGAGTGTTTCCTTAATTTCACTTTCAGATATTTCATCATTAGTGTATAGGAATGCAAGAGGTTTCTGTGCATTAATTTTGTATCCTGCAACTTTACCAAATTAATTGATTAGCTCTAGTAGTTTTCTGGTGGCATCTTTAGGATTCTCTATGTATAGTATCATGTCATCTGCAAACAGGGACAGTTTTACTTCTTCTTTTCCAATTTGGATTCCTTTTATTTCTTTTTCTTCTCTGATTGCCGTGGCTAGGACTTCCAAAACTACGTTGAATAACAGCAGTGAGAGTGGACATCCTTGTCTTGTTCCTGATCTTAGAGGAAATGCTTTCAGTTTTTCACCATTGAAAATGATGTTTGCTGTGGGATTGTCATATATGGCCTTTATTATGTTGAGGTAGGTCCCCTCTATACCCACTTTCTGGAGAGTTTTTACCATAAATGGGTGTTGAGTTTTGTCAAAAGCTTTTTCTGCATCTATTGAGATGATCATATGGTTTTGATTCTTCAATTTGTTAATACGGTGTATCACACTGATTGATTTGCATATATTGAAGAATCCTTGCATCCCTGGGATAAATCCCACTTGATCATGGTGTATGGTCCTTTTAATGTGTTGTTGGATTCTGTTTTCTAGTATTTTGTTGAGGATTTTTGCATCTATATTCATCAAAGATATTGGTCTGTAATTTTCTTTTTGTAGTATCTTTGGTTTTGGTATCAGGGTGATGGTGGCCTCATAGAATGAGTTTGGGAGTGTTCCTTCCTCTGCAATTTTTTGGAAGAGTTTGAGAAGGATGGGTGTTAGCTCTTCTCTAAACGTTTGATAGAATTCACCTGTGAAGCCATCTGGTCCTGGACTTTTGTTTGTTGGAAGACTGTTGATCACAGTTTCAATTTCATTACTTGTGATTGGTCTGTTCATATTTTCTGTTTCTTCCTGGGTCAGTCTTGCAAGGTTATACCTTTCTAAGAATGTGTCCATTTCTTCCAGGTTGTCCGTTTTATTGGCATAGAGTTGCTTGTAGTAGTCTCTTAGGATGCTTTGTATTTCTGTGGTGTCTGTGGTAACTTCTTTTTCATTTCTAATTTTATTGATTTGAGTCCTCTCCCTCTTTTTCTTGATGAGTCTGGCTAACGGTTTATCAATTTTGTTTATCTTCTCAAAGAACCCACTTTTAGTCTTATTGATCTTTGCTATTGTTTTGTTTTTATTTCTGCTCTGATCTTTGTGATTTCTTTCCTTCTGATAACTGGGTTTTGTTTGTTTTTGTTTCTCTAGTTCCCTTAGGTGTAAGGTTAGATTATTTGAGATTTTTCTTGTTTCTTGAGGTAGGCTTGTATAGCTATAAACTTCCCTTAGAACTGCTTTTGCTGCATCCCATAGGTTTTGGATTGTCGTGTTTTCACTGTCATTTGTCTCTAGGTATTTTTTGATTTCCTCTTTGATTTCTTCAGTGATCTCTTGGTTATTTAGTAATGTATTGTTTAGCCTCCATGTGTTTAGCCTCCATGTGTTCTTTCCCCTGTAATTCATTTCTAATCTCATAGCGTTGTGGTCAGAAAAGATGCTTGATATGATTTCAATTTTCTTAAATTTACTGAGGCTTGATTTGTGACCCAAGATGTGATCTATCCTGGAGAATATTCCATGTGCACTTGAGAAGAAAGTGTAATCTGCTGTTTTTGGATGGAATGTCCTATATCAATTAAATCTATCTGGTCTTTTGTGTCATTTAAAGCTTGTGTTTCCTTATTTATTTTCATTTTGGATGATCTGTCCATTGGTGTAAGTGAGGTGTTAAAGTCCCCCGCTATTATTGTGTTACTGTCGATTTCCTCTTTTACAGCTGTTAGCAGTTGTCGTATGTACTGAGGTGCTCCCTATGTTGCGTGCATATATAATTGTTATATCTTCTTCTTGGATTGATCCCTTGATCGTTATGTAGTGTCTTTCCTTGTCTCTTGTAACCTTCTTTAAAGTCTATTTTATCTGATATGAGTACTGCTACTCCAGCTTTCTTTTGATTTCCATGGAATATCTTTTTCCATCCCCTCGCTTTCAGTCTGTATGTGTCCCTAGGTCTGAAGTGGGTCTCTTGTAGACAGCAAATATATGGGTCTTGTTTTTGTATCCATTCAGCAAGCCTGGGTCGTTTGGTTGGAGCATTTAATCCATTCACATTTAAGGTAATTATCAATATGTATGTTCCTATGACCATTTACTTGTTTTGGGTTTTTTCAGGTCCTTTTCTTCTCTTGTGTTTCCCACTTAGAGAAGTTACTTTAGCATTTGTTGTAGAGCTGGTTTGGTGGTGCTGAATTCTCTTAGCTTTTGCTTGTCTGTAAAGCTTTTGATTTCTCCATCGAATCTGAATGAGACCCTTGCCAGGTAGAGTAATCATGGTTGTAGGTTCTTCCCCTTCATCACTTTTATATCATGCCACTCCCTTCTGGCTTGTAGAGTTTCTGCTGAGAAATCAGCTGTTAACCTTATGGGAGTTCCCTTGTATGTTATTTGTTGTTTTTCCCTTGCTGCTTTCAATAATTTTTCTTTGTCTTTAGTTTTTGCCAATTTGATTACTATGTGTCTTAGTGTGTTTCTCCTGTATGGGACTTGCTGCACTTCCTTGACTTGGGTGGCTATTTCCTTTCCCATGTTAGGGAAGTTTTCGACTATAGTCTTTTCAAATATTTTCTCGGGTCCTTTCTCTCTCTCTTCTCCTTCTGGGACCCCAATAATGCAAACATTGTTGCGTTTAATGTTGTCCCAGAGGTCTCTTAGGCTGTCTTCATTTCTTTTCATTCTTTTTTCTTTATTCTGTTCCACAGCAGTGAATTCCAGCATTCTGTCTTCCAGGTCACTTATCCGTTCTTCTGCCTCAGTTGTTCTGCTATTGCTTCCTTCTAATGTAGTTTTCATTTCAGTTACTGTATCGTCCATCTGTTTGTTCTTTAATTCTTCTAGGTCTTTGTTAAACAGTTCTTGCATCTTCTCCATCTTTGCCTCCACTGTTTTTCTGAGGTCCTGGATCATCTTCACTGTCATTATTCTGAATTCTTTTTCTGGAAGGTTGCGTATCTCTACTTCATTTAGTTATTTTTCTGAGGTTTTATCTTGTTCCTTCATCTGGTACATAGCCCTCTGCCTTTTCACCTTGTCTATCTTTCTGTGAATGTGGTTTTTGTTCCACAGGCTGCAGGATTGCAGTTCTTGCTTCTGCTGTCCTCTGGTGGATGAGGCTATCTAAGAGGCTTGTGCAGGTTTACTGATGGGAGGGACTGGTGGTGGGTAGAGCTGGGTGTTGCTCTGGTGGGCAGAGCTCAGTAAAACTTTAATCCGCTTGTCTGCTGACAGGTGGGGCTGGGTTCCCTCCCTGTTGGTTGTTTGGCCTGAAGTGACCCAACACTGGATCCTACCCAGCTCTTTGGTGGGGCTAATGGTGGACTCTGGGAGGGCTCACACCAAGGAGTACTTCCCAGAACTTCTGCTGCCAGTGTCCTTGTCCCCACGGTGAAAGAGAGCCACCCCCCGCCTCTGCAGGAGACCCTCCCACACTAGCAGGTAGGTCTGGTTCATTCTCCCCTGGGTTCACTGCTCCTTCCCCTGGGTCCCGATGCACACACTACTTTGTGTGTGCCCTCCAAGGGTGAAGTCTGTTTCCCCCAGTCCTGTCGAAGTCCTGCAATCAAATCCCACTAGCCTTCAAAGTCTGATTCTCTAGGAATTCCTCCTCCCATTGCCAGAACCCCAGGTTGGGAAGCCTGACATGGGGCTCAGAACCTTCACTCCAGTGGGTGGACTTCTGTGGTATAACTGTTCTCCAGTCTGTGAGTCACCCACCCAGCAGTTATGGGATTTGATTTTGCTGTGATTGCGCCCCTCCTACCGTCTCATTGTGGCTTCTCCTTTGTCTTTGGATGTGGGATATCTTTTTTGATGAGTTCCCGTGTCTTCCTGTCGATGACTGTCCAGCAGCTAGTTGTGATTCTGGTGTTCTCACAAGAGGGAGTGAAAGCACATCCTTCTTCTCTGCCATCTTGGTTCAGTCTCAAGACCAGCATCTCTGTCTTCTTCATTCCCAGGTCAACTCTGAGAAATACAGTTCTATCTCTAGGTAAGTTTTAATCACTAAAATTGAAAATGTAGCATCATTTCAGTAAAAATTCTAACCAACAGTTCCATATCATATCTACATCAAGAAAAGCGTTAGTCAAATGCTATCTGTACTAGAAAGCACTAACATGCTGAACAAGTTAAATTCATCAGGCTTTTAAGGATCTCAAGCCTATTTCTGTAATTCAGTTCCTATCTTCAAACTGAGTCTTTAGTGGATATAACAAAACCTCGTTTTATGAGCCAATGAAAAGCACAGAACAGCTACTCACAGACCAAGAGAATAGTTTCATCTTAGGTCAGTCCTTTTTCATTTGGTAACAATGACCATTCCACTCACAGAAAAGAGACTCCCAAATTTCAAAGGTTTAAAGTTTCATTAGAAAAATCATACACAAAATAAAAAGTACATTTATCAAGAACAATAATGGCATTATTTCATTCAGCAAATTCATTTAAAACATGGGTTACAGTACAGAAAGAGAAATGACAATATAAAGTCTCACATAACTAACTGATCTGGGAAACCAGTCCCTTAAAAGGCAACTGCAGTTCCATTTTCCAAGCTCTCTTCTTAAGTTGAGGGTCTTCTGTAATTGGGTTTTACATTAAGTTTTCTCCATAACAAGTTTAAAGATGCATGTCATTTCCTCATCACCACGTACTTTATTCCCCAAAATGTTTAAACCAAGTACCTGATAAACAGGTGTCTCTGTTGCGTCCAATTCTTTTATTTTGTTAAGGAATTTGAAACTGCTTTGAAAGTCAATCCAAGATCAAGTCCATACCAAAGTTCTAGCACTTGGATATTTGTCCTTGTTTTTTTGGAAGTATTGTTAACAGTCATCAATAGCTGCACAACTGAGATTATAATGAGTTTTTTTTTTCTCTTTGTAAAGTCTGCCTACTAGTTTCTACCTCTTCCCTTCCGACCCCTGGGAGCTCCACCTCCCCAATCAGATTTAGATTTGGGAGGACATGATTTTGTTCCAAGTCTCTCAATTTCTTCTGTGGTCAAATTATATGAGTTTAAGATTTTTCATAGAGAAAGAAAAAAAGTCTCTTTTTATTGTTTCAACAAGAAAATATTAAAAGCCTAAGAGAAGTTTACCATCTGTCCCAACTCCATTCCAACAAGGCTGTCAAACAGTTTCCCTTTTGCTGTGACAGCAGTGGCAGGATGCCCATTATCAACTACTGTCAGCACTAGTATGATACACCAGATTGGGTCTTCTTCACTGCTCACTTTATTTCTAAAAAGCAAAAGACTTTGTAATTAGTTGAAATCTATCAGAATAAATTCCGTCTCTGAAAGTGAAAGTATTTGTGTTGTTCCATTCTGCTCGGTTACATGCACATGACAAAAGACAGGATGACTCATTTATTCTGGACAAAACCAGACAGTGACAACTGCAAGGGAGGTTGCCTAAAATATTCCTGCAGCTTGGAGAAACTAAAGCAAAGTGCAAGTTGGAACAGAGTTCTAAACAACGTCTCCCAGTTGAAATTCATACTATCAGAAAGAAGGTGAAGAGGCATTAATAGGATCACTGTCCTAAAAACTATCGAGGTGGAAAGCCACCTCTGTGTGCTCCTCCACGGCCCCCCCTGAAACCACCTCTTTCTCCTCGGAAGTTAGATCGATTTCTTTCTCGCCCGCGGCCAGCAGAAGTCCCACCTCTTCCTCCTCCTCTGGGAGCTCCACCTCCCCGATCAGATTTAGATTTGGGAGGAGGTGATTTTGGTCGAAGTCTCTCAATTTCTTCTGTACATCCAGTCAAGTAGGAATTCGGGGTACTGAAGTAGGATGCATACGTTTCTGCATTGTAGTTGCTATTTGTAAGAGTTGGTCCAACTGTAAGCCAGCCTGAAATGGAGGGAAAAGTGATTATCCTTTCTTTTTCTTTTTTCCAATTCTCTCTTATTGACAACTGAATTTATGAGACTTTTACTTGCTCCCTTCTGGTTTGTTTTTTGGCATGTATGTTGTGTTGTGGAACACAACACACAAGCAAGAGGAAAGAAAGGAGAGAATTTAAAGATTTAATAAAAATAGTTCATATTGCCTCTTTCATGCTATATTGCCCCTTACATAAATAAGACATGTAAATCTTTACAGAGTAAACTGCAAGGGACTCTGCCTCCCACCCACAAATTCTTCATTGCAATAGCATTTTATTACAACTTCTAAAGGAATTACTAAGACCCAAGTTAGTTTAAATTAGCCTGGCTTCAGCATATACGACACATATAGCAACTTTTAAACCTTTTAAAGCAATAGTAAAGAGTACTCCTATGGTATATGTGATATATACCTTTGACTACCTCCTTGAGGAAGAAGTGCATTTGAGGATTCAACCCAAATAAATTAAGGCCCCTTGAAAAGACTTCCCTCAATTGCTCCTACTATTATTTACATGGTTAACCTCCAACTACCTACAATTTCCCCAAGCAGATATTCCTTCTTAATTTTGTTTTACTAAAGCTAATACTAAAATAATTTTTACGGGACTTCCCTGGTGGCGCAGTGGTTAAGATTCCACACTCCCAATGCAGGGGGCCTGGGTTTGATCCCTAGTCAGGGAACTAGATCCCACATGCACGCCACAACTAAGATTTCACGTGCCACAACTAAGGAGCCCACAAGCCACAACTAAGGAGCCCACCTGCCACAACTAAAGAGCTGGCGAGCCACAACAAAGGAACCCACCTGCCACAACTAAGACCCAATGCAACCAAATAAAGAAACAAATAGAATAAAATAACTTTTGCATGGGCAAAGAATGGGCAAAGATAAAGAATTGGATAGTAGTTCGAAGCAAAAAATAAAATTTGTACCTCTAAGACTTTTTTCAACTGGTAGAGATACAGATAGAAGTATATCGTATATGAAAGATATAATGTATAATCTAAAGTGGATAAAGTGGCCACAGCTAAATGGATGGAGAAAACCCCCATTATGTTATAGTTTTGGAATATTATAGTTATAAATAAAAATTGGCATCAAGTAAAATTTCTATTTTAGTTGCTGTTTATGCTTATACCTACAATATACGTAACAATTATTCTCTCTACTCCTTAAGTTCTTCTACTCATGTTTAAAAAAAACCCCACTAATTAAAATAATGCTATATGGCCATTAAAGGCATTGTAACTAATTATTTAAAATGTAGAAATATATTTGACATAATATTGAGAAAAATACAAAATGATGACTACAGTTATATAAAAATTTGTATGCACAAGAGGAGTGGAAAGTATTATGTAAAAAAAAATGAAAATAATTCTTGGAAGTAGTGAGATTGAATCTCTTTCCCTCTTCAAAATTTTCTTTAATGTTGTTACACTGATTTTCAATTATTAAAAGATATCCATCTGTTTGATGTTGCTATTACTCTTCAAATAGTTTTGCTTTTTCTTTAAAGTTTTCTACTTCCTTTAAACAGCAGTTGCCACTGGAGACTGTTCCCAGATTCAGGAGCTGTTTTTGGGTAGAACAGGTCAATGATGGAAGAGAAAAATCTGTTCCTTATTTCCTCAAACACTAGAGCCATAATCTTGATATTCAATATATATGGACATCTACACTTTCTGAAAAACACACCACTCCAGTTGAGTATCTAGTGATGTTACTTTCTTTTAAGCCAGTGAAGAGGAAACAATTGCTTGCCACAAGCTCTGCTGCCAAAATATTTTACTTTGATAAGAGAGTAAAATCATCCACAAAATTTCCAAACAAGATTTCATGTATATGTTCAATGGAAGTCTAAACAACTCAAAGTTCATTCTATAGCTGTATATATACTATGTATGTAGTGACTTATGCATGAACCGTATGTGTATTGTGAAAAACTGGTTTGAAAAGATTAAATTTAAACCATAGCATTCCCACCCTTTAAAAATCAATATAACATTTTAACTTAGAATAATTCAAGGATGCATGCTGCAATTTCCGAGATAAACACTGAAGGAACAATAAAAGAATATCTAAACAAGCTAATTAAAAAAAGAAAAACTGAATAATACAAGAATACTTAATCCAAAAGAAACGAGAGAAAAGGGAACACAGAACAGGTGGTACCAATGTAAAGCAAACAGTTAGATGGTAATTTATGCCCCAATATATCAGGAATTACATTAAATATAAACTGACTAAACAATTCAATTAAAAGATAAAGATAAAATGGATGAGAACTATGTGTTTGCTCACAAAAGATACACCTTAAATGTAAGGATATGGAAGATCGAACGTAGAAGGCTGGAAATAATATGCCAAGCAAACACAAACCAAAAGGAAGCTGAAATAGCTATAATAATGTCAGATGAAGTAGAATTTAAAGTTGAGAAACACTGGATAAAGAAGGACATTTCATAATACTAAGAGGGTCAATCTACTAGGAAGGCATAAAAATTTTTACCTTTTAGATACACCTAATAACAGAATCTCAGATATAAACTAAAAACTAAACAAAACCACAAACCCATAATCCTAATAGACTTTAACATACCTTTCTCATAGAGTAAGCAGTTTTAAAAAAAATCAGTAAAGACATGGCTGATATAAACAGCAACAACAAATACTACAACCAATCAAAAAAACAACATATTGTTACATTCTTTTCAATCAGACTTAGAATATTTATCTAAATTGGGTCAAAAGCAAATCTTAACAAATTACAAACAAGTGAAATCTTATGGTATATGTTATTTGACAATATTAATCCAAAAAGCAATGACAAAATGATAACTTAAGCAACACAATACTGAATAACCTGCCAGGAGCAAAAATTTACTTTTAAATATAGGAAACATTTTCTCTAAAGCCAAGCCCCAGAGTAAACATTTCACATGCAAAATATTTCTTTGTAAAGAGAATGTCGTTTTTTACTTTTCTCTTTATCATTTTACACAATTTTATGAAACTTAAGGCCATCAGTTTCTACAACTGAAATAGTTTTAAGATACTGTGTTCGCCAACGCACACTCACAAAGAAATAGCTGACAGGGCTGAGGAGGGGGTAGAGGAGTGATGGATTATTTCATACATACATAAGGCAACTTTAAGGATTACTTTTTTTTTAGAATGAACATCAGAGTTTCGTTTCTTCTAAATTCTTAGGTACTTTTAAGGCCAATTATTCCACTGTAACTTCTTCAATTTTTACTTTTTATAAAATGTAGACTGTTTAAGACAAATAAGATCCTGGCTCGTTTCAGCTTTTTTTTTTTTTTTTTTTTCCTTTCAGCTTTAAACAGCATTTCTAGCATGGTACGGCCAAACAGGTTGATTTTATATATTGTGACTGAAGCGATGCAATGTTCTTAAAAGTTACTTCTATATTTTCTGAGAAGAAACAGATGCACTATTATTTCAACAATACTTTGTAAACAAAAGCTGTGCCCTCTATAAAAGAAAATCCTAGTCCATAAGATTATTATTTTCTACTCATTTTTTTTTTAGAATAGTAAATTCACATTATACCGATTTAGTAAAGTGTTAAAATTTTGATGAAACAACATCATGATACATTTAAGGAAAGAAGCCAGGTACTTTAGTTTCTAATAAAGCCAAGATCTCTATTTCACAAAGGTATGGTTATTTTCTGCAGGATCATTTTATTAGCAGACATTTAGTCCTGTCCAAAAAGTCAGTAAGACATTTGGTTCATGCCAAAAGATACTTGAAATTTAGTCCTATCCAAAACATCCATGAGCAAATTTGGTCCATGCCAAATGGTTTTGGACAGGGCCATATATCAAGGACATTTTGGTGTGGACCAAATATCTTACAGACGTTTTGGACAGGACCAAATGTCCTTTATGCATTTCTTCACTCAACACAATATTTACTCAATAACCTGAATGTTGGGTAGAGAGAATAAGACAATCTCCGATTTCTATGAGACTGCATACTAAAGAGACTGACTATAAACATATGCCCAAATGAATCTATAATTCAGATAACGATAAGTGCTATGAAGAAAAAGAAAATAGATTAAAGGGAAAGCAGTGGGAGGAAGGGAGTGGAGTGGCAAGTTGGCTAATTTAGACAGGGTTGTGAGAAAAGATCCATCAGGTATTTGAATGATAGGAGAAAAGTCCATGGAAGAGTACTGAGACAAGACTGAGCTTAGCATATTTGAAGTATAGCAAAAAGAGGAATCAAATATATAAGAATTTTATTTTACATAACACTGTGTGTTCTTTCTTAACATCTATATCCCAAGGAACTATCAAAGTTTTTTTTTCCTCCTGAGGTCTTACCTGGTCGAATTGTACTATCTCTTCCAAATAAATGAAGGCGTCTTCTACCAAGACAAAAATGTTCAATTATATGAAAAATTTCTACAGGCTTTTCTATATTGCCAATTTCAGGTTCTTCTGTGATAATCAAGTCAATGTCAACATTAGCATGAATGAAGTCCCCGTCTGTGCTACGCTTAACAGTTCCTTTGATCCCCATAAGGCAGTGTTCCTAAATAATAATAAGAGCAGAACAATTAATCTCTTTTCATCAACAGTCATATTTCACAACATTTTACATTTCTGACGTTCCTCAATTCCAAAACAATCCTCATTTCTCTGAATCTTTGGGATACAGGTCTCTGGGCAAAAACACAAAAGGAAAAACCTGGATCTCTGGATCTGAGAAGACTGCCAGGGAAACTAGACATTAGAGTATTAAACTTGGGGCCATGACATTTTAGAATTGAGTCAAACACCGTAGAATCTTTTCCTCTGCAACCCTTGATAATAACTTCTCTTCAGCAGTTATGGGCATGGCACTTGACCTTGGAATCTTAAAATGATGTTATACTGGGCTTCACATGATCCAAGATCAAAACTACATATAAGGTATAAGCCTTTTCATATGGAGAGGACTTCAAGCATGGATACAGACTTACAAATACTCAACATAAGTAAATGTGAAAATCAAATGATTTCCTTTTTTGTTGTTTGTTTTTTGACCTCTATTTAATCTGGATGACAGAGTACGGTTTAAATAAATTTAATCTCACTTGACTCCAAGAACCAATAATAGCAAGGATGGCTTAGATTCCCTTCAAACAGAATTTCTAGTCCAAGAAAGACTTTAAAAAGACCCTCCACCAGAGTCTCCCTGAAGAGTGAAAGACTGGAGGACAAACTGTTAAACCCTGATAACTAGCTGGGCAGTCCTCTGAAGCAGAGGTTCTCAGTGGTTCTTGTTCAGGTTCTTACGTAGAAAAAAGAAAGGAAGGGGAAAGAAATATTCATCTAAGCTGGCCAGCTATGAGTCTTGCTGCCATTTCTTTTTTCTCAGCAAAGAGAAAGGAAAAAAAAGCTCGGGGTCAGAAGTACTAAAAGCCCATATCTGACTTAGAATTACAGCACTTTAGGATATACAGGAATACCTTCTTCAGCTCAGTATAGGTTGGTCTGAGTGAATAAAATATTTTTAAATTAACTTGGACGTATTACTTTAATGCTCAATGCCATTTGTACAAGTCAAAGAGAAGGATCTTTCCACCAAAATTAATTAAACAGTATACAGTCATTTGGAAAAGCTTGAGAGAAAATAATGAAAATAAAGAAAACAAAACAGTAAAGGCAATACCTTTGTTCTCTGGAAGACAGCCTTTGGATCTAAAGTCTTAGTCTTCCCAGGATTGTTTTTATTGGTTTTAATCCAACAAATATCTTCACATCTTCTGTAACCCCACTTGCGTAAACACTAGAAATGAAAGAATTTTTTAAAACATCCTTAGCTAAAAGAAATAAACAATACTTAAAATAACCAACCAGCATTAAAAACTTCCTAGAGGTTTGAGACATTAAATTCCAAGGTGTCACAGTAATTTTGTCTTTGTGCAGAAATAGAAAAAAAGAAATACTAGTCGTTAAATATACAGCCATTATACAGAATACATATACCTTCTGAATATTAATATACAGTTGATATCAAAACATAGAAAGGATTACATAATACTCTGATTCTTTAATACTACCTTCTACTGTCATCAATAGAAAGTTTTAAATCGTAAGAAAACTCAGTCCCTCTTTAATCAGAAAATAATTCAAAAGATAATTTTGAATAAATGGGCCACACTCTTCAAAATGTTAAGGTCATGAAAGATAAGAAAAACTAAGAAAGTCTTCCAGATAAAAGAAGATTGAAGAGACATGAAAACTGATGACACTAAGTGATCCTAAGACCAGAAAAAAATTATTTATACTATATAGATGTTATAAGTGGGACAACTGCAAAAACTGTCTTATTGAGAATAGTATCAAAACAGTGTTAATTTTATGATGCTAATAATTGTACTATTATTATATAAGAAAATGACCTTATCTTTCAGAAATATAACTGAAGCACTTAGGGGGAAAGGGACATTATGTCTAGAATTTACTCTGAAATGGGGGAGGGGAAAATGGAAAGAATGAAAAAGAGTAAAAGAGAGAGTGAGGGGGAGAGGAGAATAAAAAAGTAAATGTGAACATTTGAGTTTCTGGGTGAATGGTAAATGTGGATTGTTGCATAATTTTTAGAACTTTTCTGTAAGACTGAAGTTATTTTGAAATAAAATGTCTTAAAATCAGAAAAAAAAACAAAAGAAAATTTTGTTCCTTCCACCTCAACTTTCTATCCTCTGACAAAGCTAAAAACTGTTGAAAATGTTCTGAAAACTTCTTTCCAAATGAGAGTCTTGTTATTTTTAGGATTTAATACTAAACCTCAAAAATTCAAAGACTTAAAATTATTATATTTCTTTACTGAGTAAAACTTTACTTTCATCTTTATGTAATCTAGACAGTAGAGAGATTTGAACCTTATTGTCCTAGAATATGTTATATATGAACATATAACAAATACTAGCTAAGTGAGTACTCAGAGTGGCATTTTGAGGCCCACAATATGTAGGTGTTGGCTAGCTGCTGGGAAAAAAAACATGAATAAGATATAGTCCTTACCCCTAGCTGATTAAGAGCAAAGTAGGGGGAAATAAGTAAATTGTGCAGTACAATATTGTTGGTACTATGATCAAGTACAAATAGAGATGTAGTGGAACATAAAATATACACACTTTTCAGGAATGCTCTTATTGTATAAACTGAGATACACCACAAAATGAAACTTGGATTTTTAATTTAAAATCTCAAAAATCAAGATCAGTATCTGTTCCTGTTGCCAGGTATTTGTTTCGCACTGCATTAAATATCACAAGGGCCTAAATCCAACATTTCCTAATCAACTTAGCACAACTCATGAGTATTTATCATGCTGAATTATTTTTGTAATCATCTGGAGCCAAAAGCTGCTTTCACCAATATGATAAATTGCTGCATAAACAAATAAGATAAAACCTCCTAATCAATTTCAACCTAATTTGGGGGGTGGGAGAAAAGTCCAAAGCCAGACATTAGAGCTAAAAAAGGTAAATATCAATATACCTATAAAAACATACAGTATGTCTCTATTTTCTTAGATTTTCTATAGCATCTTAGGGAGGTGCCAGCAATAAAATAGATACCCTATATACAGTTATAGTCTTGCCATGGATTTAATAAATGACAGAAGCAATGATGTTATCCAACAGTCTCAAACTTGCTATTTATACAAAGAATACACAAGCAATTGCAGAATTTCAGGATTTGAGAACCAATTTATCTCAATATAATCCTACTTAAATTCTTCACCTGTCAAATGGACACCTCCTAAAATTACCAGGATTTAAATGAGGTCATAGGCAGTAGATCAAATAATATTTCCTAAAAATGGAAAGTATTATCCAATAACAAGTGAGGTAACCGAAACACACAGAGTAAGTATCTCTTTACCCAAAGTTTCACTGTTGGACATCAGAACTGAGACCAGAGCTAGCCACAATGCTTCCATCATAAAAAAGCTTTATCATTTTGTTTCCATTCAGAAATCCAAAATACTCCAATCAAAAACCAAAAAAAGTTCTGAAATACAATAAATATAAGGTACTTAAATTGAGATGTTATAACTTCTTTCTCACTCTCATGAATTTATTCAAACTATGTGCTCCAGATGCTGTGTTATTTTTCCAATTTGATTTGGCTTTCATTTGGAATTCAGGAGTTAATGCTAGCCAGAAGAATACTTTTTAGCTACTAATAATGAACAGTAAATGACACTAAGCAGCTTGCTTTTGAGCTGCAATTCAGTTTCAAATCTCTGAACTGTTCTCTTCCTGCAGTTTTAATAAATCATATTTTGATTTATTCACCCCTAATGCTAGTTAACTAAGGGATACTGCCTTTTGCACATTCTTTGTTAAACATCTTTTTCTTCTGAATATTTTAATACTGTTCAAGAAACAAAGGAGAAAATAACATTATTCTTCAAACTTCTTATGCAACATACTGTGTTATTTTTTTCTTACGAATTTAAAAAACCACTTAAAAAAACACCATCTTACCACTCTTCCAAGGTCCAATCCCTCCCCAGAACCACACCAGAGAAAAATAAATGATCGAGGTGCTGCAATCTCATCAATTTCTAACTTCATGATCTGTAAGAAACCAAATCAATATTGCATAGAAGCATTGTTTCCCATTCATCCTAAATCCAAAAGAACAACCATTGCGATTTATCAGGACTTACAGTAAATGTGTTCTTTAAATGTACTAATTTTCATTAAGAAATACAATGGAAAATAAATTTTCTTAAAACTTGTTCTTCTGGTTTTTTATTCCCTATTAAGATAACACAGATGCACACATGCACATACATACACTTGATTTTCTATGGAAAGAGTTTACAGGAAACCATATTTATAGAATTACAGAATTTTATAAGTTATGGCTTGAGAGTAACCTGTTACCATTTACAGAAAAACTGAAAAGGGATTAAATTACCCCAAAGATGGGGCAAAATTAAAACATAACCACAAATGTTTGGGGGAGGACTTGGTTTCCAGTTCTAAATAAAATAAATCAATATACACATTTCAGTATAATGACTAAGTCTGAAATGTCACAAACAATAGACTATAATTGTTTGCTTTGTATTTGTTAAGTGTGCCAATTTTAAAAAAAGTTCTGCAATAATTAAATCTCTAAATTGGGGAAATACCATATACTTGTATAAATGACTATAAAAGCAACCATGTTATATGGTATTCCTTTTCTTTTAGCTTCCTGTCACAGTTAAGAAGTTCCAGAGACAACGGTTCAAGCAAATATTTATTAGTTTCATGTATTAAGAAAATCTTAACTTCTACCTGAGTGGATCATAACCACATAATCTATAATTTATCTAGGTAAAAATACATTATTTGACAGTGATAATGAAAAAAAATTACAATAGGCATAAACCTATTCAGTTTTATACTTCCGACTTTAAGTCTTGATATATCTCATCTAATATTCTCATAGGAATATGAATTAAAATAAATATGTAATACGCACACACACATAATATTCCTACAAACGTCTATACATGGTATAGCTAAAGATAAGTGATGGCACACATCAGTGAAGAACATTAAGCAAATTACTCTCTTGACATTACAATTATAAATGCTAAATGTTGGTATTTTAAGAAAGTGCTTATATTCTTTTTGTTTTTGTTTTTTGTTTTTGCGGTACGCGGGCCTCTCACTGTTGTGGCCTCTCCCGTTGCGGAGCACAGACTCCAGACGCGCAGGCTCAGCGGCCATGGCTCACGGGCCCAGCCGCTCCCGCAGCATGTGGGATCTTACCAGACTGGGGCACAAACCCATGTCCCCTGCATCGGCAAGCAGACTCTCAACCACTGGGCCACCAGGGAAGCCTGAAAATGCTTATATTCTTAAACAAAACACACTGGCCTCTACTGACTCTCTAATGTGAAAAAGAATACCTGTGAAACCCGAATGCTTTTCTTATTTATACTTTATTTATATTAGCTACTGGCACTTTCTTTAAGGTATTATCACATAAACGTTAAGAGCTTAGGGCTCTGGGGCCAGGCAAAACTTTTCAATATACATATAAAATGGAATTCCTTTATTTCAAAAACTCTGTTAGTTTATCATATATAATTGAAGCTCCTGTACCTTCACTGACCAAACCTTAGAGATTCGCTAGAGAAAATAAAGTTCAACCTAACCACTAATCATAGACATAATAAGATTAATTTTTCAATTTTCTTTTGACTAAATTGACAAAGATTGTTTTATATTATTAATCAATTTTGATGAGGATATGGTGAAATAGATATTTCTTAAACACTACTGGAAGGAATGTAAATTTGTGCAACCTATCTGGAGAAATTCTCAGCAATATCAAGAGCATTACATCTTTAACCTTAAGTTTTGGGGATACTATATACTGTATACTTTTCTGTTTCAACAATAAACACAGATTACACTTATCAGAGGAGAGGAAAAACTTTTGTAAAGTAAAATAAAATAAAAATAAAATAAATAAAATTGCCAGAGGTACTGAAGCTGAAAGGAAAAGCTTCAAGGAAGAAAAACTGAAGTTATTACATCTTGAAAAATAATATTAACAAGTTAATAATTATTAACTCGGAAGATGTGCAAGGATTCAAAGCAGTTCTCTATGAAACACCAGTCTAGAATTTCAGTCCTTTCCCTTCCCTACCTCTCTTCTGTGTTCAGTGCTCCTGATCACACTCTCCTCCTCGAAATTCCCTATTCCCTTGGTTTCCGTGACATTCATACTCTCTTGGTTCACCTCATTCATCTTTCACCCATTCTTTTCACATCTCTTTTATAATGTGCCTCTTAAATGTAAGTTTCCTGAGGATTTACAGTAAATCCACACTGTTTCTTAATTGAGACACTACCTCAAGACAAATTCATTTATTCTCATAGGTTTAATGTGCTAACCCTTTAAAATCTGTATTTTGAGATGATCAAATCTGTCTTTTAAGTTTCATAATCTTATTACAACCTCTACTTGAATGTCTCACATACACCTCTTAATCAACACATTCAGTATAATCGCTCTAATCCTGCTACTATTCTTAAATTGACTCTCTCAGCTGGTGATCTCAACCCATTTATCCCAAGATTCAAACTCTTGAGTCATCCTTTACTCTTCCCCTCTTCCCAATCACTAGATCTCGTCAGAAGTATCTACAAAACATTACTGAATTTATCACCTCCTTTCTATTCTTATTACCATCACCCTAAATCAGGGTCCCTTCATCTCCTAACTAGACTACTGCAACAGTCTTCTGTCTGCTCTCCCCTCTCCAGACTTCATTTTCTCTAGTCTATCCTCCTCTACACACTAATCTGACCATTTTACTAAACTGGTTAAAGCCCTTCAAAGACTCCTTAATGCCTTTAGGCATTAAGCTAAGCTTCTAAGAAGACATCATCTCAAGACAGTCCCAATCTGTGTTCCAACATCAACCTGCATACAGACCTCCCTCACCCGTCTCTTTGCCTCCATCCCTCCTGCTCTTGCTGTTCCTTCTGCTTGGAATCCCAAATCCACCCTTTTCTTCAGCTGGCCAATTCCAGCTAATCTATCCATACATACTGTTCACGTGTCATCTCCTCTTTGTTTATGTCCCCCAGCTTCCTCAGCTTGGTCAGTTTTTCTCAGATCACCTTATGCAATCCTCTATTATTGAACTAACAATATGATAACGCAATTATCTGTTTAGGTCATTGTTTATTTTATCCCATTAAACTGTGTGCCCCTTAAGGCCAAATACTAAGTCTTATTCATCTTTCAATCTCCAGTACCTAGTTGCCTAGTACAAAGTGGTGCTGAATAAATATTTGTTATTTTTGTTATTGATCAGTAGAAACAGGTTACTTTATGTAACTAACTGAAGCTATCAGCTTGTTCAATCTTATTCAGGAAAATATAACATCACAATTATATAATACTGAATTATATCACAATTATATAATACATATGTCCCTTAAATCTATTATACTGTAAGTTCTTTAAAGAGTAGAAATTATGTTCATATGTGTGTGTCTGTGTGTGTGTGTGTGTGTACGTATACTCTGATGTTTACTAAAACTAACCAAATATGGAATGTTATCAACCAATCTGTTTTTAGACTTATTTCTAGCTATACATTCAAGGACTCTAAGACTGGAATTTTGAGTCTTCCACAGACGATTTACTCACTACCTGCTCAACTTCTGCCTCAAAAAGACAAATCAGGGCTTCCCTGGTGACGCAGTGGTTGAGAGTCCGCCTGCCGATGCAGGGGACACGGGTTCATGCCCCCATCCGGAAAGATCCCACATGCCGCGGAGCGGTTGGGCCCGTGAGCCATGGCCGCTGAGCCTGCGCTTCTGGAGCCTGTGCTCCAGAGGCCCGCATACCAAAAAAAAAAAAAAAAAAGACAAATCAGACTAAAGATATAATAATATTTGTTAATGTACCTTAGACCTTCAGCCATAACATATATTATAAATCTATATTTACAACTTCCTAAAAAAGTAGGGATATTTATAATATTACTTTCTGATCAGACATATATTTATTTGAAAAATAAATAATTCATTACAATGTAGAAAGTTTGATCATACATCATCCCAAGTCCAGCATTTTTCATTAGCAGTGATGCCAGTCTCTCTGTAATATTCTTCTAAAGGGGGTTCAAGAAGAATCACATCAAATTTGGGTGTTAGTTCTCTGATGTCAAAGGCTTCTATATCTGCTTGTAAGTACCTATTTGATTAAAGCATAAAATGTAAGAGATTTTCAAATACTTTACAATGGTAATGAAAGAAATTTCTTAAATATTTCCTAAACACTATTTACAAAGTCACCGTGAGCTAATTACTGAATACCTTTTTATGGAGGAGTATCCTTCCTCAGTACAGACAGTAAACCATGTACCAGTGCTCTTCCAGAGGACATGGATACACTCACACCACAAAGTAAAATCACAGTCCCACACAAACATCCAAAATACAAACTTCTCTCATTTCTTATATTGAAAATCCATACTCAGATGAGTGTCTGAGCCCCTTTCCATTATCATCTTAATATTCCAAAGAATACCATGTTACTTTTTCCACAATTGTTAAGTTAGAAAAACTATTTGTTAGTAAGTTTTAAATTCCTCCCTCTAAAAAAGTTTCTAAAAATGGACATAATTTTCTTTCCTTAGTTTGTGCCTTAGTAATATTGTTTAACAGTTTTTTCTAGCTACTTAGTATAAATTACTACTAGCCTTTACTTAATGGTTATTTCCACATAGTATGAAAGTATTTTAAATATAAAATACTTTAAATGTAAGAGTGTTTTTAAATAGGATATTAGTCTACTAAAATTTTTGCCACAAACTCAGACGTCTTTGCAGTTCTTCTAATCATTAACAGTATACATTTTAGCAAACTGTTAAATGTACAAAATGTTCAAAGTAAGCTAAATGTGAAATAAAGAGAGTCTCCAATTTCAAAGACCTTAAACACATTTTTTTAGGGAAGCATTAGTCTGTTTAGCAAAGGTTAAAATGAATTTTTGTATTCCAAAATGTTAATAGCATCTCTGGTTGCTGAGTTATAATTAACTTTCATTTTCTTACTTTCCCTCTCTAAGTTTTCTAACTTTCTTCAATAAATAATTTTTGAGAAGAAAAGTCGTTTAAAAACATTTTAAGATAATCAGGAATACAACAAATATGATTTTCTAAGAAAAAAATTTAAATTAGTAATTTAAAGTAAATTGTCTAGAAAACTGAAAATAAATTAAATGAGAACCTACTGTGTACTCAGCACTGGAGTTTCAAACTAATATATTTTACTATACAGAAGAAAGAGAATGTGTTAACCTTACAAAGATAGTGAATTTTTTTCAAACAGAAAAGGGGTTACATGATAAAAAGACTAATATTTTAAGCCTGAGTTGGGAACAAAAAACCCCACTTACATAGGAGGAGTGTTAGATTTAGCTATTAACTCATCCTTCAGCCTGATGAGCTCCCTCAGTTTAGGGTATTCTTCAAATCTGTCAGCCAAACCTGAAGAGGAAACATAGTAAATTCCAAATTTCAATACAAATGAGTATCAATGCATTCAAACGTGACGAGCCTGCTCAGAACAAAACAACACACAACCACCTCTTCATCCTCACATCCTTTTAAAAAAGTCTGAGGACTTTTAAACAATTCATATATACATTTTATATACCTAATGACCCTAATCCCACATGCAGGCAAACTCCCAGATGTTCTAAAGCCCAGATCAAGTCAATTAACCATTTAATTTCTCAAATTTATTAAATTAACTAACCTGCTTATAGCATCAAATTAACTAACCTGCTTATAGCATCAAATTTTGCCATTCTGTTCTCAGGAAAAGAAAAATTTTTCTTTCAATCATGCTTTTTGCATTTTCTTTTTACTCAAAAAAGTCTTTCTCCCAAAGAATCTAGTGATTGTTAAAATTTTTACTTAGTTTCTTAGACAGTTATCCAAAGCAGAGAAAATGAGGATTTCTCTTCTTTACTACTGATGATCTTAAATTAAGTGGCTACACTTTATGGACACAATCCCAGAACAAATCTAGTTAAAAAGATAACGAGTCCCTAACAGTCATTAGTGCACACCTCATTCACTCTGATTACTTATCTAAATTGTACTACCAATTCCAAGATAAGTCACTTTCTCTAAGATTATTTCCTATATCAATATTTATAGTTTTAAAGATCTCACTCCACATTATTATAAACCAAATCCTCAGATACATTTTCAAGCTTAGGACCTTGAAAAACATCTCCAAGTTCCATAAAGGTTAAAAACAGGAGACTTGTTCCCATTTCCTCAAAAATATTTACATCTCTGAACCTCAGAAGAGATTTTAGGTAAAACAACATAATAACTGTTTAAACAACTGTAGGAGTAAGTAGGGCTTGAATATCAAAGATTCCTAAAAGTTTTTATTTTGTTTTTTCTTTCTTCCCTACAAGAAGCATATTCATGACAATATAAATTATATAAACATCTTAAGTTGAAAACCAGAAGTACATTTTAATAACTTTAATACCAAAGAGTAAATAAGTGAAAGATTTTATAAAGCCTCCTCAATCAGTGGTTACAGATCAAATGAAACAAGTTTGAAGATTTTAGTACAGTCAGGTTTCAATCACAATAGAGTCAGCTCTCAATCATCTACAAAACAGGTACACCTTTTTCTCAATCCATAATAGTTTCCTAAGTACATTTTCTTTGCCTTGGAGAAATAAGTATCTTAAAAGCAGAAAGTCTGACAATGAAATTTGGTTATATCAATATAACTTATCATAACTTCGAGGAGAAAAACAGCTTTTTATAATTGATAAATAAAAACCTTATATATTAAACCTATATTTAACGTATGCAATTCGATGAGTTTGAACATATGCATACACCTGTGAAACCATCACCACAATCAAGGTAAGACATACCAATAACCTCCAAAAGTTTCTTTGTGTTCCTCTGGTTTTAGTGTGTGTGCATATGCATGTGTGTGTGGTAAGAACACTTAAGTAAGATGAAATCTACCCTCTTAAATTTTTTTAAGTATTGCTGACTATAGTCAGCAGTACAAACAATTTGCTACACAACAGATCTACAGAAAAAATTTATCTTGCATAACTGAAATTTTATACCAATTGAACAACAACTCCCCATTTTCCTCTCTCTCTAGACCCTGACAATCACTCCTGCATTCTCTGCTTCTATGAGACTGACTACTCCAGGTACCTCATAAAAGTGTATGTATTTATATACACATACTATTTTAGGTACCTCTGTAAGTGCATGCATATTTGTCATCCTATGACTGGCCTACTTCACTTACCATTATCATAACTTTTTGTGCTACATCTAAATTTTGCCTGTGAAAACATTAAAATCAGTTTCTACATGTTGCTTACAAACAAGAAAGGAAAAAATAAATTGGATTACATCAAAATTAAAATTTTTGTGTTGCAAATGGTACCAACAAGAAAGTGTAAAGACGGGAATTCCCTGGCGGTCCGGTGGTTAGGACTCTGCGCTCTCACTGCCAAGGGCGTGGGTTCAATCTCTGGTCGGGGAACTAAGATCCTGCAAGCCGCAGTGTGGCCAAAAGAAAGACAACCCACAGAATGGGAGAAAATATTTGCAGATCATACATCTGATAAGGGACTTGTACTGAGAATATACAAAGAACTCTTACAATGTAATAATAAAAAGACAAATTACCAATTAAAAAATAAGCAGGGTTTAGACACCTCTCTAAAGTAGGTATTTAAGTGGAAAAATATGCATAGGAAAAGATTCTTAATATCATTAGTCACTAAGGCAATGTAGATCAAAACCACAATGAAATACTACTTTATACCACTAGGACTGCTATAATTAAAAAGACATAATAAAATGTCAAGGGTGGTAAGAAACTGGAAGCCTCACATACTGTTGGTAGGAATGTAAATGGTACAACTGCTCTGAAAAACATTTGGGCAGTTCCTCAAAAAGTTAAACATAGAATTACCACATGACACAGCAATTCCACTCCCAGGTATATACCGAAGAGAAATGAAAGCATACATTTACACAAAAACTTTACATGAATATTCATAGCAGCAGAGTTTATAACAATCAAAAAGTGGAAACAACACAAATGAATAAATGAAATGTGGTATGTACATACAATGGAATATTTGGCAATAAAAAGAAATGAAGTACTGATAATATGCTGCAACACCAATGGTCCCTGAAAACATTATGTTAAGTGAAAAAAGCCCAGTCACGAAATATCACATGTTGTATGAGTCCAATTATATGAAATGTCTAGAATAGGCAAACTGATAGACAATAGTCAATTAATGATTACTTAAGGCTGAGGGGCAACTGTGGGAGAAGGAATTGGAATTGACTGCTAATGAGTACTGAATTTCTTTAGGGGAGATGAAAATGTTCTAAGGATGTGGAGAAAGGGGACTTGTACACTGTTGGTAGGAATGTAAATGAGTGCAGCCACTGTGGAAAACAGTATGGAGGTTTCTCAAAAATCTAAAAATAGAACTACCACATGATCCAGCAACTCCATTTCTGGGTATATATCTGAAGAAAATGAAAACACTAATTCAAAAAGATACACGCGCCCCAGTGTTCTTAGCAGCATTATTTACAATAGCCAAGAAATGGAAGCAACCTAAGCGTCCAGCAAAGGTAAATGGATAAAGACAATGTGCCATATATACACACACACACACACACACACACACACAATGTGGTGTACACACACATACACACACACATACACTTATTACTCAGCCATAAAAAAAATGTGAAATTTTGCCTTTTGCAACAACATGGATGGATTGGAGGGTATTATGCTTAGTGAAATAAGTCAGACAGAGAAAGACAAATACTGTATATTATCACTTATACGTGGAATCTAAAAAATAAAACTAGTGAATATAACAAAAAAGAAACAGACTCACAGATAAAGAGAACAATCTAGTGGTTACCAGGGGGAGAAGGAAGTGGGGAGAGCAAAATAGGGGGAGGGGATTAAGAAGTACAAACTTCTACGCATATAATAAATAAGCTACAAGGATATATTGTACAGCAGAGAAAATACAGCCAATATTTTATAATAACTATAAATGAAATATAATCTTTAAAAATTGTAAACCACTATTTGTACACCTAAAACTTATATAATATTGTAAATCAACGATACCTCAATTTTTAAAAAAAGTTCTAAAATTAGACTGTGGCAATGGTTGCACAAATCTATAGATATTCTTAAAAAACTCAATTATATTCTTTAAATGGGTGCACTGTATGGTACATGAATTCTCTCAGTCAAGCTGTTTTTAAAAATGTAGGGATAATGCCTTTGGTAAGCTTATCGGTAGACTGGACACAGCTGAGAAAAGATTCTGACCTTGACGATATCTCAATAGAAACCTCAAAAATTGAAAAGTAAATAGAACAAAAATTGGAAAAAGAAAGCCAGACTATCTAAGGAATGTGGGACAACTACAAAAGGTAAAATGTGTAATGGAAATATAAGAAGGAGAAAAAACAGAAAGAGGAACAGAAGAAATATTTGAAATAATAATGACTGAGAATTTTCCCAAGATAATGTCAGACATCAAACCCCAGACACAGGAAGCTCAGAGAGTACCAAAGAGGATAAATGCAAAAAAAAACCCAAAGCAAACAAAACCCAGCTATACCTACACATATCATTTTCAAACTACAGAAAATCAAAGCTAACGAAAAAATTCTGAAAGAAACCAGAAAAAAAAAAACCAAACCTACTGAGGAACAAAGTTAAGAATTATACCCAACTTCTCAGAAACAAGCAAGAACAGGGTGAAGTAAAATACTTAAAGTGTTGAAAGAAAGAAAACACCAATCTAGAATTCTGTACTTTGCAAAATTAATCTTTCAAAAGTAAAGGAAAAATAAAGACTTTCTCAGGCAAACAAAAATTCAGGGGATTTGTTGCCAACAGGCCTGCCTTGCAAGAAATGTTAAAAGAAATTCTTTAGACAAAAGGAAAATAATATAAGTCAGAGAATCAGATTTACATAAAGAAAGGAAGAGCATCGAAGGAGTGAATGAAGGCAAAATAAAAATGAGGGATAGTTACAGAACCAAAATGAAGGAAAGATGGAAGGAGGAAGGAAAAAAGTAACACTGCTTGATGGAAAAAGAGAGTGTACTAGAAGTACTAAGAATGGAAAGGGGAAGCCAAGCCAGGAAAAATAATTTTGTTAGAAATAAACCACAAAATGGATAAATTACATGCATGTAATCAACAGCTAGCAATAGCATATTCCCAACAAATCTGACATACCTACATCTCTGATGAAATTTTGAGGTCTATGTCCGGTGTCTACAAAATGTTGGCAGTAATCATTATGGGGATTTAAACTCTGTGTTCCCTAAAGAAAACATCAAAATTAAACAAACAGCATTCACTCTGAGGGCAGATATACTAACTCTGTACTTTATTTTTTATTATGAGGCCATACAAAATATAAGTTAATTGACATTAAAAAAAACAGAAAACATCACTATTAAAATAATAGTATTACAATTCAGTATCTACAGACATCAATAAAGCATTATCTCATCCTAAATGGGCAAGCATCAGAAGAATATTTCATGAATAATTTTAAATGACCTTTATTTTATAATAATGATCCCTCAATAACTGAAAAAATCTTGAAAACAAATAAGTATTTAAAATCTTTTCAGGCATAGAGCTGAAATGTGAAATTATGGACGTGAAAATTATTTTTTTACCTTAAGAAAAGTACTAGAATCTTTGTAAATCTCTTCTTCATATGGCAAATTCTCTTCCTCCTGTTGCAGTTCTAATTCATCCTTGGAAAAGGAAGTATACATTTTATATATAAGAGGAGTATCTTACATATTACGATATCTCGAGTATTAAGACTCATATAAATATTTTCTTTCCCTAAGACACAATAAAGTTTTCAAATTACTTTTAAAGTCAAATATTGAAGTCAGGACTTCCCTGGTGGTCCAGTGGTTAAGAATCTGCCTTCCAACACAGGGGACACGGGTTGGATCCCTGGTCAGGGAACTAAGATCCCACATGCCGTGGGGGAACTAAGATCCCACGTGCCGCGGGGCAAGTAAGCCCGTGCACGCGGCCGACAGCTAGAGAGAAGCCCACAGGTGGCAATGAAGAGCCCACATGCCACAACTAAGGCCTGATGCAGCCAAATAAATAAATATATAAAATACAAATTTAAAAAAATTTTTTTAATCTAAAAAAAACTTGAAGTTTTTGCTTTCTCATCATTAGCTGTAACTAGTTATGCTTATAATATATAAAATAAATATTTCTTTTTCATTCTCTTCAGTAATAATTGTCTATAACTACTAATTTTGTTGACTAAGTTATCTAGGATTATTTATCTCTGATATAATATAATATATTATATTATATATATTATATATATAATATAATATAATATTAGAATTTAGCTCAAATCATGAAAGATATGACCACCAATGGGGCAATTTTATTTCTACTAGATCAAACCATATGAAACTGCTATTTTATAAGTCAAAAATGTTAAAATATCAGAAACTGTATATGGTTTGACCTAATATAATCACAAATAGTTAAGTTATATAAGAGGATATACCAAATGCAACCAATACACAAGAGAATATCTATGAAATTAGATAATTATACCTAAAGATTTACTGAAACTATTTATTCTCTTCTCTATTGAATATAGTTGTATGACAATTAATTTGAAAAAAATGGAGGTAGGTTTTTTTGTCCTTAACTTTCTTCTCAACTACATATTGTAATTACAAGTTGCGAAGCTGGGTTTTTGCCTTGGGCCTCTGTCAGAAATGGTTCTACACTGCTGTCTAGCCCATGAGTTCTCAAAATATTTTAACTGTACTACCCTATATTGTTAACATGGAATAATGCAACTCAAAGAAGACAGTATTGTAGCCTCTCGAAATATGATTGAATTATCCAAAGTTTCTGATACATCTACCTCCTTACTCTTATTTAAGAATGCTATTGCCTAGTGCTTACTAGGCATTATGCTAAGTGCTTCATATACATCACCTAATTTAATCCACATACTTCTTGTGTTAAACTGATATAAATGTCTTAAATTTACCTAATTACATCAACAATTATTCAGTATTCTGTCAAAATTCAGCTTGTCAAATTTTGTTTTCCTGGGTAAGACTCTATGGACTGTAAGGACTTATTTTCTTCTTGACCATAAAATTGTCCCATTCTCTACTTGCCTTATATTCTTCCATTTTGTCTTCATCTGTCTCTCCTTCATCCTGATACTTACGTTTTGCATTTGGAGCAGAGGTATCATAGGAAGCCCTGAAAATTAAAACTGAAATATCACTCACAAATACATACAAGATGTATAAATGTGTCCATTAATAATATTAAAGAACCGGTTATAAAAACAGAACAAGGCAAATTTTTCCTGACTAAACAGTATCTATTCACCCAGTTTATAAATCTTAAAAGTAACACAACCTGATGAATAATCTGTACTTTTTTTTGAGAAAGCAAACAAATAAGAAACTAAGCTTTTATAAGGTATGCATGGCAAAAAGAAACTTCTACATTATGTATCATTCTAATGTGTCTTGAGCAAAACTGATGTTCTATAAAGGATCATAAAAGACTACTACAAGCAACTATATGCCAATAAAATGGACAACCCGGAAGAAATGGACACATTTTTAGAAAGGTAAAAAATTCCCAGACTGAACCAGGAAGAAACAGAAAATATAAACAGAGCAATCACAAGTAATAAAATTGAAACTGTAATTAAAAATCTTCCATCAAACAAAAGTCCAGGAACAGATGACTTCACAGGTGAATTCTATCAAACATTTAGAGACGAGCTAACACCTATCCTTCTCAAGCTCTTCCAAAAACTACAGAGGAACACTCCGAAACTCTATTAATCTCTATTAAAAGGATCATACACCATGATCAAGTGGGATTTATCCCAGTAATGCAAGGATTCTTCAATATATGCAAATCAATCAATGTGATACACCATATCAACAAATTAAAGAATAAAAACCATATGATCATCTCAATAGATGCAGAAAAACTTCGACAAAAATTTGACAAAATTAACACCCATTTAAGATAAAAACTCTCCAGAAAATGGGCATATAGGGCACCTACCTCAACATAATAAAGGGCATATATGACAAACCCACAGCAAACATCATTCTCAATGGTGAAAAGCTGAAAGCATTTCCTCTAAGATCAGGAACAAGACAAGGATGTCCACTCTCACCACTATTATTCAACATAGTTGTGGAAGTCCTAGCCACGGCAATCAGAAAAGACAAAGAAATAAAAGGAATACAAATTGGAGGGACTTCCCTGGTGGCACAGTGGTTAGGAATCCACCTGCCAATGCAGGGGACACGGGTTCGAGCCCTGGGCCGGGAAGATCCCACATGCCGCGGAGCAACTAGGCCCATGTGCCACAACTACTGAGCCTGCGCTCTAGAGCCCACAAGCCACAACTAATGAAGCCCACATGCCTAGAGCCCATGCTCCGCAACAAGAGAAGCCACCGCAATGAGAAGCCCACGCACCGCAATGAAGAGTAGCCCCTGCTCGCTGCAACTAGAGAAAGCCTGTGCACAGCAACAAAGACCCAACACAGTGAAAAATAAATAAATATTTTTTTTAGAAAAGGAATACAAATTGGAAAAGAAGAAGTAAAACCATCGCTGCTTGCAGATGACATGATGATACACACAGAAAAATCCTACAGATGCCACCAGAAAACTGCTAGAGCTAATCAATGAATTTGGTACAGGATACCAAATTAATGCACAGAAATCTCTTGCATTCCTATACACTAACTACAGGAGATAAGAAAAATAAATTAAGGAAACAATCCCATTTACCAATGCAACAAAAAGAATAAAATACCTAGGAATAAACCTATCTAATGAGGCAAAAGACCTGTACTCAGAAAACTATAAACCACTGATGAAAGAAATCAAATATGACACTAACAGATGGAGAGATATACCATGTTCTTGGATCTGAAGAATCAATATTGTGAAAATGACTATATTGCCCAAAGCAATCTACAGATTCAATGCAATCCCTATCAAATTACTAAAGGCATTTTTCACAGAATCAAAACAAAGAATTTTACAATTTATATGGAAACAGAAATGGCGCCATACAGCCAAAGCAATATTGAGAAAGAAAAACAGAGCTGGAGGAACCAGGCTCCCAACTTCAGACTCTACTACAAAGCTATAGTAATCAAGACAGTATGGTACTGACACAAAAAAAGAAATATAGGTCAGTGGAACAGGATATAAAGCCCAGAGATAAACCCCCCACACCTATGGTCACCTTATCTTTGATAAAGGAGGCAAGAATATACAATGGAGAAAAGTCAGCCTCTTCACTAAGTGGTGCTGGGAAAACTGGACAGCTACATATAAAAGAATGAAATCAGAACACTACCTAACACCACACACAAAAATAAACTCAAAATGGATTAAAGACCTAAATGTAAGGCTGGACACCAAAAAACTCTTAGAAGAAAATGTAGGAAAAACACTCTTTGACATAAATCACAGCAAGATCTTTTTTGACCCACCTCCTAGAGTAATAAAAATAAAAACAAACAAATGGGACCTAATGAAACTTTAAAGCTTTTGCACAGCAAAGGAAACCATAAACAAGATGAAAAGACAACCCTCAGAATGGGAGAAAATATTTGCAAATGAAGCAACTGACAAAGGATTAATCTCCAAAATATACAAACAGCTCATGCAGCTCAATATCAAAAAAACAGATAACGCAATCGAAAAATGGGTAGAAGACCTAAATAGACATTTCACCAAAGAAGACATACAGGTGGCCAAGAGGCACATGAAAAGATGCTCAGCATCACTAATTATTAGAGAAATGCAAATCAAAACAACAATGAGGTATCACCTCACACCAGTCAGAAAGGTCACCATCAAAAAAACCTATGAACAGTAAATGCTGGAGAGGGTGTGGAGAAAAGGGAACCCTCTGGCACTGTTGGTAGAAATGTAATTTGATACAGCCACTATGGAGAACAGTATGGACATTCATTAAAAAACTACAAATAGAAGTACCATATGACCCAGCAATCCCACTACTGGGCATATACCCTGAGAAAACCATAATTCAAAAAGACACATGTACCCCAATGTTCATTACAGCACTATTTACAATAGCCAGGACATGGAAGCAACCTAAATGTCCAACAACAGAGGAATGGATAAAGAAGATGTGGTATATGTATACAATGGAATATTACCCAGCCATAAAAAGGAACGAAATTGGGTCACTTGCAGAGATGTGGGTCGACTTAGAGTCTGTCATACAGAGTGAAGTAAGTCAGAAAGAGAAAAACAAATATCATATATTAACACATATATGCGAAATCTAGAAAATGGTACAGATGAACCTATTTGCAGGGCAGGAATAGAGACAAAGTAGTAGAGAACAGATGAGTGGACACAAGGGGCAGAGGGAAGGGGAGGGTGGGATGAACTGGGAGATTAGGACTGACATATATTCACCACCATGTGTAAAATAGCTAGTGGGAACCTGCTGTATAGCACAGGGAGTTCAGCTTGGTGCTCTGTGATGACCTAGATGGGTGGGATAGCAGGGGGTGGGAGGGAGATCCAAGAGGGAGGGATATATGTATACATATAGCTGATTCACTTCACTGTACAGCAGAAATTAACACAACACTGTGAAATAATTATACTCCAATAAAAAAAAACCTGATAACTACAATACTGAAAAATTCTAAATGCTTTATGAACTATCAAGTCAATACCACTTTTAGGGCAAAGTGTGTTTTTTTTAATAAGGATTTTTTAAATAAAATTATATATGGTATATAAGCTAATTCCTAGCCTAACATTCCATTTTCTAACTACTTTATAAATGAAAACTTACTGTATTCAGATAATAAGTATTTCATAATTCATGAGCTAACAATAAAAACCAATGTTTCCTAAATCTGTATGCTGATACTTATAACAACACACTTCATACCTAGGATCATTGTTTATTAAAACAGTGATCCTTTCACAAATACTAACATGTCACTAAAAAAATATTCAACTGACCTGCAAGTTTCTCTTGTTTCAGCAATTTCTCTCTGCTCATCTTTGCTATTTAACACAGCACCAATACTGTCAGCACTTTCAGCTCCCAACTGAGAAAAGGCAAAAACCAAAAATTAGATGACAGTGTACTGAATAGCCTTCCTAGTCATTTGTAGCAGCATTTAATACATCAAGTATTTAAAAAAAAAAAAAAACCCGTAACTACTGCAGCAGGCAAATGGACAAATTACCTTGCAGGAAAAAGAGAAAACACCTTGGAGCAAAACCATGTTAATTAAGAATGATTTTGCCAGCTGAAAAGTATTTTATGCTTTCAGTTATTTTGAAATTACAACAATTAACTTGAGCCAATCCTCTACTTTTAAAGCAAATAATAAAACACAATTTAGCAGCAGTAGCAATAACAAAACAACAAAAAAAGCAGCTAACATAGTGTTTATAGTGTGATATGCACTATGTTAAACACTCTGCATCCATCAGCTCATGTATTGTACCTTATTTATTCCATGCCGTAATAAATACCTTTTCAGTTTTATTCAAGCCAAGTCTTTATAATGATTATAGGCACAATACTAAACTTTACAAAAACCTGAAAAATAGTGATGCAAATTCGGGTTGGCAGTTCGGGAAATTTTGCAAAATACAACAAATGTAAACAAATCAGTAGTTGAAATAGGCCTGGCTACATAGTATGGGATCAATTCATGGAAAACTTTAAAAGCCAAACCAAGAAGTATAGAATGCAATTTACAGGCCATGAGGAACCACTTAATATTTTTAAGCACACGAAGGCATGAGGAAATCTGCATTAAATAATCCCTTAGCTCAAGAAAGGTGAGAAGGCACACTACAATATTAGAGCTGCAAGTCCCCAGCCTTGATCTTAAACAATTACCACTGCCTCTTTAGACTACCCACTTCATGACTCCCCTAAGGTTTCCCCAATGATAAATCTCTTCCAATATATCAACTGTTCCTGATATTTTAACTCTTCCATAAAATCTTCCTGACCCCTATTCTCTTTAGTCAGAAAACACATTCATTCCCATAGGTGGAATGCTTTATAACCTTCTTCCCAAGACTGAGTCGGACTCCCTTCAAATCTCAGATGAGTACATTTCTTCTGAGGGTCCTTCCATGAACACTATATACAGAATAGGTAGCCTCCTTTCCATTATTTTTACCTCCTCATTTCCTCATTCCGATCATAGCACTTAATACACCCTTTTTGTTTTACTTTTATTTGTTTCACAGTCGCTATCATAACTTCCAATTTTTTATTTGTACAATTCAATTACTTTATCAGTTTACTTTTGTTTACTTCTCCCCCACTGAAATGTTAGCTCACTGAGGGGAAGAACTCTGTCCTGTTGATATCTGTATGTGCAGCAGCTACTATAACATCTGACTTATAGTACATGCTTATAAATATGGGAATAAACCAATGAGATTTTCTACCAAGGTGTAAATTAGAATACAATGTTTTACAAGAGGAATGCTTTAAATCAAATTGTGCTTACATATATAATTGTCTTCTCATGCTCCAACATTTTTTAAAAATTGTGGAATGACTGGACTAATAGACTTCCCATTGTGGTAGCACTAAATACATTATTTGAATAACTATGACAATTTGGAATCACTTGAAAGCATGTATAATTTTTTGAAACAAAGCTACAAGTTAAATAAAAACAGGTGTAAATCGTTGATGATAGCATCAATTGCCACAATCGTGGTCTGGGCCTATATACTGCATCCGATATCTTCATCCAGCAGCCAAGTCAGTCAAGCAAATTATACACACTTGAGTTGTGCTCTACTCTGACAGATCATCAATCAACAAAAATTTATTAAAAACTTACTTAGGGCAAGAAACAAAGTTAGGATAGAAGATTAAGCCAACAGGAATTAAATGCAAAGACGCTGCACGCAAACTGTTTATATGCTGTATGATGGTTAATAATATACAGTAGTGGGCGCAACAGTAAGGAAAATGGATGCTCAGAGGGAGAAGAGTCTAAGCCAGGGAGATCACAATAGGTTTCATCACAAAATTCTGACCTGGACTGTCACAGAGGATAGACAGAAATCAGAAAGAAAGGACAACTTTTAAAAATCATAAAGTATGTACTGCACAAATCACCTTCTGGAGAGTAATAAACCAGTCTGTCTTGTTCATACAGAGAAAAGTAAGTGAAAGAAAGGCTGCTAAAGTGGAAGTCTGTCATTGATTTTATTGTACATCCTTACTTAGGTGGAAAGGTTCCTATCCAACTGTACTAGGAGGCAGCCAGGTGTATTGCAAAGGCCTAAAACTGCAGCTTGCAAATGTAAAAGGTTTGTGGCCTTCAGCATGTAACAAATTTCCTGAGCTTTATTTTCTTCATCTATAAGACACAGATAGCATCTGACTGGTATGATCAAATATAATGTATGTACAAGCTTGGCAGAGTCTTGACACACAGAAAGGACTTAATAAATGGCAGCCATTATTAAATTCTGTGCAGTAAGTAAGCTCTCTGAGGGTAGGACCACCTATTATTATTCATAGCTGAATTGCCAATGTCTACAAAAGCTCCTGGCACATAGTAAGACACTCAACCAATCATTGTTTACGACTATTTTCAGTCAAACAGACGTCTGAATTCAAAACTAAAGAGTAAGAATCTTGGTGGTAACAAAGAGCTGCTGAACATTTTTGAAGATAACATAATAGAAACTGGGAAAAGGAAGGCTTGGAAAAGATACTTGATTTGTCCAAAATCACTATGCCAGGAACAGATCTGATTCCAAACGCCCCCTTTGTTTTTGGCCACGCGTTTGTGGGATCTTAGTTGCCAACCACGGATTGAACCCGGGCCACAGCAGTGAAAGCGCTGAGTTCTAACCACTGAACCACCAGGGAACTCCCTAAACGCCCACACTTTTAACACTGTACCATAAATCTTTTCATCCAATCATAAAAGAGGATAAGTCTCAGATTTCCATGTACTAAAACGAAAACTTATTACTGAAAAAAATAACAGTAAGATGCCTCATCAAAACCTGTGAGCATTTCCCCCATCCCTTTTACCGGTCTGAGTGGTAGAAAGTAAAACACAGCCTCTAACTTTAATTAAGCAGAGGTGTGCATCTGCATTTTCTGCATGTGTACTCTACTAATCAAGTGTTAACTTACTCATACACAAGAAGGAGTGAGGCCAAGATCTGGAGAGACAAACCTGGGTTTAACTTTCTTGCCCAGAGGTGAAGGAGCCAGGGCAAAAATTAACCTCTGGAGCCAATGTTTCATTATCCGATAAGTGAAGACAATATTACCTATTTCAGAGATTTGTTGTGATCGATACAGATTAAGAATTCAAACATTAGCTGCGAGTGAGGACGAGGATACCGTACACGGCAGGGTCGACAGCAATACGCATCATGCAGAATCTAAAATTTACACTCAGGCTTCTACCAATGCAGTCTTTGGTCACTATCCCAGGGAAAATACCGTAAACCTGACCCACAATGAAGCCCCAATCTCAAGAATCGGGAGCTGACTACAAAGAAAGGCAAGACACAAACGACCATTTAAAAAGTGAACAGAGGGGGGTTGCCCTGGTGGCGCAGTGGTTGAGAGTCCGCCTGCCGATGCAGGGGACACGGGTTCGTGCCCCGGTCCGGGAAGACCCCACATGCCGCGGAGCGGCTGGTCCCGTGAGCCATGGCCGCTGAGCCTGCGCGTCCAGAGCCTGTGCTGCGCAACGGGAGAGAGACCACAACAGTGAGAGGCCCGCGTACCGCAAATAAATAAATAAATAAATAAAAGTGAACAGAAATTCTGGAGGATAACAAGTCACTTTTCTTTGCGTGAACTGCGGTAACTTATACAGAAAGACCACTGTATTCTCATCATTGAGCACCACTCGGCGGCCATTCCATAACGGTTGCTGAAGACCAAGCGTGGCGTTCGGTTCAGCACCACAATGACCGCGAGGTAAAACAGGAAAAGATTCGGGGTACCCCGGGGGTTGAGAACAAGAGGGTAAGTGGGCGCAGGGATTAAGGTCGCGGGACCAGAAAGGACTGCACCGTGGCCAGTAAGGAGACAGAAAAGGGAGGAGGAGGTAACAGGCCGGCCGCGCACGCGCATTCGCGATCCCTCCCTGGTCCCCGGACCTGCTGCGCGAGAAGCTGTCGCCGTAACTTCTGCCGCTCCCGGATCTCCTGCAAGCGGCTGTCCATGTCCCAACTCTTGTTTTCCACTGCCTCGAAAACTTGGCAATGAGCGGACGAACCCCCGCCCAATTTTTCTTCGGAGACTGTGGAACACAAAATTCTCCAGGAGCTTCTAGCAGCGTGTACCCAGTGCTTTTTCCTCAATAGGTGTTTCCGGCGCGGCCGGAATTTGGCTCCACCGCTCCCGGAAGTCCCGCCTCCTTATGGACGCCTGCGATTTGACGCTGCCTAGAAGAGGCCCAATGAGGGTCCTGCGAGAGGCGTCTGTGGAGGCTTCGGCGGTCCAGAGCTGGGGCTGTTGGAGCTGTGGTGGCGAATCGCTGACCCCTCACTTTCCCCTTCCTGGGACTTGAGGCTCCCTTGGTCTTTCAGCACTGTTGCCACGTGGTGGGCCGTTTTGTTGATTCCCTTTTCCATTAGTTCCCCAGTTGCCAGTTCTGACGTTTTAATCATTGCCAGATACCCGTTTTTTCGTGAAAGCACTAACACGGGTCAGATTTCGGGGTTTGAACCCTGGACTGTCGTTTACTAGCTGAGTGGCCTTGTCTAGATAATCAACCTCTGTGAGCCTTTAATAAGAGTGCCTACCTCACAGAGTTGTGAAGATGGAAAGAATAAACAGAGCCAAACACATCCCACCATGCCAGTGTTCATTAAGCTTTTTATTATTACTTTCCACTTGAGGCAGGGAACGGCAACTGCATCTGCCCGTGCTCTTCTCCACAACTCACTAGCCCTTGAGAAGTTTCCTATTTTACCATAATGCATTTTATGGATTCTTTAGAGAGGTGGGAGGGTGATAGTAAAATTTGTCGTGGTTCATGTCCTAGAGGTCAGAGGCTACGGGGGCCCTTTTTGTGCTTGTGCATTTGTCTTAGTTGGAAATAACCCTGAGATATGAAAACAAATAGCCTACTGATGCTTGTGGCGGGGGGGCTCAGTGATGATTCTCCTTTCTTCGTAGGAAGGCAACAAGGACCAAAGTTGGTTTTTTTTTTTTACATCTTTATTGGAGTATAATTGCTTTACAATGGTGTGCTAGTTTCTGCTTCATAACAAAGTGAATCAGTCACACACACACATATGTTCCCATATCCCTTCCCCCTCGCGTCTCCCTCCCTCCCTCCCTCCCAGGACCAAAGTCTCAAGTTATTACCATTATACACCATATTTGTCATCTTATTCCAAATTCAAAGTAGCAGAAGTAGACTAAGAAGTCATGTTGCCCCAAGTTTAATTGGAAGTTGTGGCACATACTTACCAAGATTAGTAACAAGTCTGTTCTTTGAGAGAGGATTTAATTTTTGAAAATAGTATTAAATCCTCCAGATCAAAAGCAGGTGGGTCAGGCTAGGCCAAAAGTGGGCAGACTAGGCTCTTACTAATTGTCATGTCTTTCTCAAGAACTAGCTCTGAAAGGCAATTTCAAAAGAGGAGTCCTAAAAATCCCTTGAGTAATGGCAGCACTGTTTGAAAAAGTATGTTAACTTCCAAGGGGCCTATACTGTAAAAGACAATACTAATTTGTACATATGAATTAAAGTGTGTTTCTTTAACAGTCAGCTGCATCACCTGCCAGTCAGGTAAGCTGAGTATTGATTTGAGCCATTTTTCAGTGATGTGAATAGACATTTTGTTCACTCAAAAATTTATTATAGGGCTTCCCTGGTGGCGCAGTGGTTGAGAGTCCACCTGCCGATGCAGGGGACACGGGTTCGTGCCCTGGTCTGGGAAGATCCCACATGCCGCGGAGCGACTGGGCCCGTGAGCCATGACCGCTGAGCCTGCGCGTCCGGAGCCTGTGCTCCGCAACAGGAGAGGCCACAACAGTGAGAGGCCCCCATACCGCAAAAAAAAAAAAAAAAAAAAAAAATTATATTTATTGAGCATTTTATATGGCAGACACTGTGATGGACCCTTGAGTCTATCAAAGACCAAAAACCAAATCAGTCAGTTTTTCTTTAGGGAGTTTACTACCTAAAGGAGGAAAAAAATTTTTTCCTGGTAAAGTGTAGTGCAGGTGCTAGTGGTATTTAAGCCCCATACTCACCTGAACTCTGCTCTGTGACGATGGTTGGGCTGGGAGTTTGCAAACTGTAGTTCCCAGCTTTCCTTGTCAGACAGCTTCCTGTAAGATTCTGGTAAGAATTCTGCACAGGCAGAAAATCAGAAGGTGGAACATGGGAAAGCTATTGTTCCTTAGTTCTCTTCCTCTCTGTTTCTGGTATCCAGGGCAGTGTCTGTGCCCTTTACAAAGTCCAGCACCAGCTGCAGCAACCCCTCCTTGGTGGTCCTGTTTCCCCTTTCCCTACACTCACGTGGCATCCCCAAAAGAGCATTTGCTCTTGGGCTCTGATAATACCACCTCCACCCTCTGTTCTACCAGCTCTAGGACTAGTAGCCACTTCCTGCCGTTAGGAATTTCTGATTTAATCTCACCTTCCCCTTTATGCTCTTTTAGCCGTCAACATTTTTCCATAGCAAATGCTGTCTGTTTAGAATTCCTTATTTGATTTCTGTTTTCTTGCCTGGGACCTGTACTGATGAAGATGCAAATGTGAACTACCTTTAGTATTTACAAAGTCTTTCGAATACAGCAGAGGGTTGTCCCGGTTTCCACAAAGAAAGGGATATAACTCTGAAATCTGTCTCCCAACCAATGAATTTTAAAATACCAGACCACACCTGTGGAGTACTGTACATGCCTATCAGTAACATTTGTTCATCACAGCAACATAAGGACCATTAGGGAATGTGTGTGGTGGGGAGAAGGGGGAGAAGAAATTTAGAAAGTCCCCACATATAATTCATATTCTTTGAAAAAGCAATTTAACTTCTAGGCACTTATTTTGAGGAAGTAATGAGAGATCCACGTAACAATGAATGCATCTCCCCTGTTGAGCTGCATCCCATAGGCCTACAAGTCTTGTGCTTGCCCAGCTTCAAGACTAAGAAAGAGCCCAGAGTCAGCAACAGAGACATCAATGCATGGGGGAGACTACACGTCTGAAGCAAAGTCCTGGAGCAAAACCCCACCGGGTGCGGTGGAGGGCAGGCAGAACAAGGTGGCCGTCTTTGCTGTGGGGAAGGGAGGGAGATTACCAGTTACAGGGGAAATAGATGTCAGGTGGGCTCATTAGTTACCAGGGAAACCAGTAGAGGCGAATGCCCCTCCCCGCCTTTGATAAGAAGGCTAGCTGGGGCCTGGAGCAAGTACAAAGGAAGGTCAATCATGTGAGTAGGCTGTAGATGCAGCAGGCGCTGGTTGAGCAGGGGACACACAGAGAGCAAGAGAACAGCCATCTTGAGTGGCCTGACCATACATTCCCCCTAAGTTCCTTGAGAATGACTCTTCCAAATCTATGTATCCAACTGCCTATTATCCATCTTACTAAAGTGTCCCTCACAATCTCAAAGTTAACATGGATATAACCTGAATTTGTCAGTCACCCCCATCTTCTCAAAAATAATTTTTTAATTCTACTCCTAAGGTGTTTCCTATTTCAGTGAATGGGATCAGTATCCACCCATTTTCCTAAATAAAAAGCACTCTACCTCTTCTTCAGCCTCCTTATCTACTCTGTGCCTGTAGTTCCACCCTTAACCTCAACCCTCACACACACACACACACACACACACACACACACACACACACACCATTCTTCATTTCTGCAAACACAACTTCTGATGATACATATCCTGATTCATATCCTAATTTCACTACCAGTTTCCAGCCTATCAGATTCTTCCTAGAGATTTGTGGAAAATTATAATTTTATCACTTCCAACTCTGCTCAAACTTTTTATATGTCTCCTCAATGTTTGGGGCAGTGCTGTCCAAGAGAACTTCTGTGTGAATATGTCTTCATTTCTTTGGGATAAATGCCTAGAGTGCAATTACTGTGTCATGTGGTAGTTGCATGTTTACTTTTTTTGTTTTTGTTTTTTTAACTGCCAGACTTTTCCAGAGCATATGTATCATTTTATATTCCCACAAGCAATGTGTAAGTGATCCAGTTTCTCCACATCCTTGTGTGCATTTATTATTTTACCTATTCTGATATTTTATATACATACACACACACACAGTGTGGCTTACATAGCAATTTGATGAAGCATAGAACATTGCAGACACATTCCTTGTTTTGAAATGAAAAAACTTTCTGATGTTACCAAAAGCATCTCGTGGTTTTAATTTGCACTTCCCTAATGAATAATGATGTTGAACATCATTTGATTTCTTTATTTGCCATTACATACCTTTTCTGGTGAAATATCTCTTCATGTCTCTTACCCATTTAGTAACTGGATTGTTTGCTTTTTACTGTTGTGTTTTAAGAGTTCTTTGTATGTTCTAGATATTAGTCCTTTGTTGCATACACAGTTTTCAAATTTTTTCTCCCAATCTGTAGCTTGTCTTTTTGTCCTCTTAACAGAGTCTTTCACAAAGTGAAAGTTTTAATTTTGATGAAGTCTAAATTTTATTTTTATGGATCGTACTTGTGGTATAAAGTAATAGGTAACATTTTTTTGCATGGAAATAAGCAACCTCTCCCTCACTTCCCTTGTCCAAATCATTGGCACATCCTGTAAGAAACAATTCTAAAATATAACCTAAATATGTCTACTTTTTCTCCATTTTTACAACTATCTCCCAGGTTCAAATCACCATCATCACTCAATTTATTTTCCTTCTTCCCTTCCTTCCCTATTTTAAAACTGTAAATTAGATCATGTGATTCCTTAACTTAAAATTCTCCAAAAGTTTCCCATTAGGCTTAGAGTGAAATCCAAATTCTGCTACAGCCTATGAGAACTTACCTCATCTGGCCTGCCCATCTCTGACCTCACCCCGGTATACGAACCTCTGATCTTCCTGCACCTCACCCTAGTGCCCTAAACTGCAGCCAAACTCTTTTCTGTTTGTCTCTCAAATACAACAAGCTTCATCCTACTTTTGGCCCCAGCATCTACAGGTCCCTCTTCCAATGTTTGTAGGACTAGCTTTTCCTCACTAGGTCTCTCCACAGTCAACTGCTCCAAGGTGCCTTCACTGATGGCCTTATTGAATGAAGCCTGTGTTTCTTTTATCACTTTGTGTTATTACTCTGTTTCACTATTATTATCTTTTTGCACTTGACCAGGTG